GGAGGTGAACGAGCAGGTTGCCACCGGTCGAGAACGCCTTGCCGCACACTTCACACTCGAAGGGCTTCTCTCCCGTGTGTGTTCGGAGGTGAACGCCCAGCTTGCTAGGGTCCGGGAACGCCTTGCCGCACTCTTCACACTCGAAGAGCTTCTCTCCCGTGTGTGTTCGGAGGTGGACGCGCAGGCCGCCTCCGGTCGAGTACGCCTTGCCGCACACTTCACACTCGAAGGCCTTGTCTCCCGCGCTCTCCATCGCGTCGGCTGCGTGATGTCCCTGTGTACTCGTTGGTCCCTGGTGAAAAGAAGACAGTGATGAATAAATCCGCAACGCAGTGCTCCGCCGTATCGGCGTCCTCTGTCCGGCTGCAGACGTGCGTACCTGGCACTCCTCTGGGGGACGAGCTCGCCGTCGTTCACGTCCTTGGAGGCGGTGGTGGCGCCCCGGGTGTCCTCGCGGGCGGCGAGCACGGCGACGGGGAGCAAACGCGTTGAGCGAGACGGCCCCGCACCTCGGCAAACGAGCAGCTGGCCGCTGTGCTCACTACTGGCTCCTGCGGACGCCTGACTGGCCTGACTCAGACGATCGACCCGCTGGCGACGTACGTACCGCGAATGCCTCGGACACGCTCGGTGTGGAGAAGCGAGGATGTAGCGGCAGCGGGAGGCGGCCGAGGCGGCGAGGATCAGGATTGGCAAGGGCCCTCCGGGATCCCCCGGTGTGGAGGGAGGAGGGAGGAGGCGGTACGAGCGTGGAGCGCTGGCCGGGTCGGGCAGGTCGGGTTGCCCCAGGCCAGGCCGCCGACGAGCGCGGGGGAGATCCGAGGCCGGCGAACAAGAACAAGGCTGCACCCACCAGGACCAGGAGGCTGCCTCGCTCACTAAGCAACTTCCACAGAGGAACAATGACACGTTCCTGTCGTGGCGCGTCTGTAGTCAAACTGCACCGCATTGCATTGCTACGCACCGCCAGCGGGTTGCCTGCTCGCTCCGGCTGTAATGTCTGAAACCCTCGACAGTCGTTGAGAGGTAACAGAGGCAAACGTTTTTTTTTGTTTTTTTTTTTTTTTGTTGTAAAATAGCGGTCTTTTTCGTGCAGGCCAATGCCCCCCCTTAGATCACCCCACTCTCACTTTCAACCGCGCTGGTGTTTTGCAGCACGTCGTAGTATAGTTAGTTGTTCGGGTACGAAAAAATGAAACAGTAGAACGAAGCAGTACACGGGGCTCAGTCATTTATTTCAGGCCGTTATCGGAAAACAAGACACCGCAAAGCAGTGTGGACAAACACATCATCACGGAGCGACCCGTACTTGAATCCACTTGATGGAGCCGTCCGCGGGGTGGTCGCGCGGTGACGGGCAGCGGTCGCGCTCGTGAGCGGTCAGCCCGACCGGGGCCGTGCTACTCGACACCCCGTCCCAACTGAGCTCGGGGTGGCAGTCCAGGACGCAGGCCGCGCAGTCCTCGGCGCCGCACCTGAAGGCCATCCGCAGCCGGACGTGGAGCGAGGGGTTGTCCTGGAGCACCGCCTCGACGGCGTACGCGTGCAGCCAGAGGTGGGCGCACTCCATGCGCTCCGGGGTCCCGCGGTAGAACAATGTCGGCGTGCGGGGCCTCAGGTCCAGCTCGAGCGTCCGCAGCGCCGGCGCCGTGCCGGCCGTCACCCCCAGCAGCAGGTCGTGGAGGTCCTGGAGGTCATCGAGGTCGTCCGAGTCGTCCGAGTCATCGGGGTGGTCACCGAAGTAGTTCCTCCGCCTCGGGGAGTGCAGCACGACGAGGTGGCGCAGCGCGGGCAGCCGAGGCAGCGCGGCAGTCAGCGCCTGCACCCCCTTCAGCCTAGACACGGACAGAAACTCGACGAGGGACGGCCCGGGCGACACCAGGGCCGCGACGACCTTGCTGTCGCCGTCGTCTTCGTACAAATTGTCCACCGGGTCTTTGAACTCTAGCGTGACCCTGCGCAGCTGCCTGGCTTGTTGCAGCAGCGCCACAGGGTGCTCCGACGGCTCGTCTAGGTCCATGACGAGGGTCAGGTCCGAGAGCGCCTTGCAGCCGGCCGCGGCCTCCACGCCGGCGACCACCTCGCAGGACAGCTTGCGGAGCCTAGGCAGGCTGGGCAGCAGCGCGATGGACTGCTTGACCTCGTTGCAGTAGCCCGACCCGAGGTCAACCTCCTCCAGGGTGTCGGCGTGCCTCGCCAGCACGACGCGCGCGAAGGAGTCCGAGTCAGCGTCGAGCGTGCATCGGAAGTACTTCAAGGACGGCCTGTGTGACCCGTACGAGAGAAAGCTAGAGAATGCAACTGTTCCGAATCTAACGTCGAGCGACTCCAGGTCGGAGCACGTCACCAGCGTCTTCAGCAGCATGTCGGCACCACTGGCCTTCCTCTCGGCCTCCATGTAGCCTGAGCCAACGGAGCCCAGGAGGTCGGAGGCCCAGATCTCAATGCGCCTCAGGCGTCCGAGCGCCTCCTGGTTGCGGATCAGCAGGGCGTACTTGGAGAAGTTGTAGTCTTTAGATGACATTTGCAAGACCAACTGCTCGACGGCGCACCTGGTGGTGAGGAACGCCCAGGGGTGCACCTTATCGCTGTACACCAGTTCACGCAGGCACGGCGCCAGGTTCAGCACGGCGCACGCGCACGGCTTGGCGTCGTCGATCCGCCGGTGGCGCCAGGCGTCCCGGTGCAGGGCCAGCTCACCGAGCCGCCTGCACACCAGCCGGCAGGCGAGCAGGTCCTCCACGGAGAGGTGCTGCATCACCAGCACCAGCACGTCGTCCAGCAGCTGCTCCATATGGTCTCGGCCTGCACGATAAACACACACACACGCAATGATTGTACCGGAAAACTGTAGTGACGCCGAGCCTAGAGAGCAGCGGCCCTACCTTTGGAACCGGGGTTCGACGGGAGTAGAGTGCGGCCTGGCTGTACCGCTTGGAGAACCGAACGGCGCTAGAGTTGCGCTGCGGCTGCGACCGGCGTCCGGCGTCTGAGGCTAAGCACGGACACGGAGCGAGTACAACCGGCTCCCTCTCCCGCGGGCTGCGGGCTACGAACTACTACTCCTCCTCCGCCTCCTGGGTTTCGGACCGTCCACCGTCCAGACGATCCCGCTGGGTTCGGTTCGGTCCCGCTCGGAATCGCCTCTCGGCTCTCGGGGAGGGGGATGCCTATAAGCTGAGCTGAGGCCCGGCGACCTACCGACCGACGGCGCCTGCTCGGGACCCATAGATAGCAGCGGGGAAGCCCTGCGTCCAGGAGGGCGGTCAGCGACGGCAGGGCTGGGAATACCTTGCGCCGCCGCGGGGGCTCGCGAAGGAGGGGCGACCGCGAGGAACCAGACACCTTCACGAGTCGGCTATGGAGCCCTGGGCACCGCGGTCCCACCAGCATGTGGCGGCGGGCGCAGGGTCAAGGGAGTGTGCAGTGATTAAGGTTGAAAATTTTCGAAAATTCCCGGAAAATTTTCGAAACATTCCCGAAAATTTCCGGAAAAACTGAAATTTTCCCAAATCTGGAAAAATTTCCGTTTTTTCCGGAAATTTTTTGCTCTTTTCGGAAAATTTCCGGAACTTTTCCGGAAACTTTCCAGGGCTTCCAACCCTAAGCCATTGATTCACTGCCGGGGCACCGGTGTAATAACGGACTTGAGCTTGCCCTGTTCGAGTCCCCGTCTAATGCGGACGGCCCGGTGTCGCAGGGTTATACCCCCCGGCCCCCGCCACCCCCCCGGTACATCAGCCCTAGGTATAGTGTACCGGGGGTACACTGTCCCTGGGGCACATGTACCCCCCCATCTCGAGACCCGGGGGTACACCCAACCTAGGGCTGGTGTACCCCCGGGGGGTACACTGTCCCTAGGGCACATGTACCCCCCTACCCTCGACCCCCGGGGTACACAGAACCTAGGGCTGGTGTACCCCCCGGGGGTACA